GCAATAGCTGCTAATCGTCTTGGCTGAGTACAAAATATACGGCAGGGGATACCATTTTTAAAGCAATCATCTAAGAGGAACTGAGGAATCTGGAACAAATTTTAAGTTACTATCAGATGACATGATTGTACATTCAGAAAATTCAAGTCAATCAACTGAAAAACCATTAGAACTAAAAAGTTCTGTAACATGCCCAAACATAAAATAATCATAAGACCAACAACTTCCGTGTAACTACTAATAATCAGCTAAAAAGTATAATTTGAAAAGACTCTGCTTCCAACAGAAACTAAAACTAAAACAGTGAAAATAAAATTATGAAGAAATACTTGAAGTTTACATGAAGAAAGTTATAAAGTGCTACTGAAAAACATAAAAGACATGAATACACTAAAAAAATGACATACTCCCAGTTAGGAATAATCAATATTGCAAGAATGTCAATTTTCCTTAAATTATCCTATAAAGTCAATGAAACAATAACCAAAATTCCATTGGAATTTTTAAATAGTGAAAATTATAAACAAAACAAAAATAGCCTAATACCAGGATTGCAGACACTTAACCATAATTAAATTCAAACATGTCGGAAAGATTTAAAATAATAAGTAAAAGTCTTCCCCACCCCTACCACTACCAATAGTCCCCTCCATAAAAGTAACCTCTGTTAAGTTTTTTAGAAACTCTTTTGGGGAAAAAAAAGTTTATATGATTTAAAATATTTGTATATACAAACAGGTTTTTATTCAAACAAAGTGATTATTGTCCTTAATGTTTGTCATCTGCAGATCTCATTTAACAACATATCAGATCTATCTAATCCATTTTAATACCTGCATAGTACATCTTATGGATGTGCTATAATTTAACAAATATGACTATATATTATGTAATTTCCAATTATTTTTAGGTATGTTATTATTGATGTTGTTGCTTGCTACTGTAAAGAATACTGCAGTGAACATCTATCTTCACATACTTTTGTAAAGATAAATATATGATGAGTCAAAGAGTATATAAATTTAATTTTTATGGAAAAATGATCAATCTGCCCTTCAAAACAATTTATACCCCTACCAACAGAACAGGAGATATTGTTTTCCCAAATGCAAATACTAGATATCATGAATTTTCAAATTTCTGCCAATCTAACAGCTGAAAAATATAATTATTGTTTTGATTTCATTTTTTAAACTATGAGTGAAAATAACATCTTTTCATGCATGTCTTAGTCCCCAGGATTTTTTTTTAAACTTGACCACTTCATTTGGAAGGATAAATGCAAACAAACTGCTAAGAAATATTTAAAATATTTAAAAAGAGAAGCTAATAAGGAGGCGTATCATGCCATATATTGTAAAACTACAAAATGCAAAAAGTGAGATCTTCATGCAGGAACAGATAATTAAAGACATATAACAAAAATTCCAGGAATAGACCCAGGTACTACAGAAATTTAGTATTTGATCAAAAGTAATATCTTAACCTATGCACCCCAACGTTCCAAGCAGCACTATTTACAATAGCCAAGATATGGAAGCAATCTAAGTGTCCATCAACAGATCAATGGATAAAGATGATACGGGGGGTGTGTGTGTGTGTGTGTGTGTAATATAATATATACAATGGAATACTACTCAACCATAAAAAAGAATAAAATATTGCCATAATCAGCAACATGAATGAACCTAGGGAATATTATACTCTAACTAAACAAAGTAAGTCAAACAGAGAAAGACAAATATTATATAATATCACTTACATATGGAAGCTAAAACATAACACAAATGTATCTATTTATGAAACAGAAACAAGCTCAGACATAGAAAACAAACTTACGGTTATCAAAGGGGAAAGGGAGGCAAGAGAGGAATAAATTAGGAGTATGGGATTACAGATACATCCTATTATCTATAAAATAGATAAGGAACAAGGATTTACTATACAACACAGGGAATAATATTCAATGTCTTATAACCTAAAATGAAAACTAATCTGAAAAAATATACATAGAAATGAATCACTTTGCTGTACAACTGAAACTAACACAACATTGTAAATCAACTACACTTCAATTTTTTTTGAAAAGTAGTATCTTAAATCAGGGGAAAAGGATTATTAAATAAAAATTATATTGGAATACTAGATTTTAACATAAGGAAAAAAGTTAGATATACCTGATATGATACAATAAAATAAACTCCAGACGGATTTTAAAAACTATAGATATAAAAGTATTAGAATAAAATATTTATAGGAAAGTGTTTTTTAATCTTGGGGTAGAAAATGTTTTTCTTAGCATGGCATGAAGCCCTAAAAAGAGACGGACACTCAAATAATTTAGATAAAAACATATTTGTTATATTTGTCAAAATTTTCATAATGTCTACTCTATGTAATTAAAATGGCCACAAATAACACCTACTGACAAAAATTTCTAATACTAAAACAATTATAACAATCTAAGACATATGAACAGATTCTTTGGCATGACTCCATGGAATTCCACTTAACCATAAAAGGACTCATGCTGAAGAAAAATCTTATACATTGTTTTCAGATAAAAATTTCACCTTATTTGTGACTATTCAGTTTTATAGGCTCAAAGAGGTATAAAGGTATAAAGAGTTATACTTTTGTTAATAACTAGTAAACTTTACAGTCAACCTCTCCTATCACCTTGCCTTACTTACTAAGTTTATTAAAGTAGCCAATATAACCACAGGAGATCTTAAACAACTGTCAAAAGCAAATTTATTTGTCCTTATAAGAAGGAAATGTAAAGTTAAAATGAGTATTCTATCTAAAACTCAATCAAAAGCAAAGTAAATTTACTATTTCAACATGCTAACACATTAAAGAGGATAAACAAGAACAGGTCATATCATTGTGCCACACTTCCAACCTGTCACTACAGGAGTGACACTTCATAATACTGAAGTACTTTAATTCTAAACATCCAAGTCAAACATGTCATATTAATTCCACCCTATGTTAACTCTGAATTAACATTTCTTGTTGTTAGTAATATTACTTGTAATTTACTTGCTACATACAAAACACTATGCTAGGCACTTTATGGTCATTACGTCAAAACCTCACCTTGAACGGCAGCAATTTTTAGTTCCATTTTGTAAATGAGGACTCTGGCTCCCAGAGTTACAAGACTAGGCTAAAACATCACATCCAATAAATGAAGGAGCTGAAATCTGAACTGAAGGCGAAAGTCCATCTTCCTTCATTAAACCAAATCACAGTCTTACCTCTGTTTAAATAAAGCCCTTATGTACTAATTTAAAAGAAAATATTTTAAAATACTATCTTTCTATAAATTCTCAAAATGTACTTCTAGTAATAACTTATTTCAGAAAAAAATATTAAAATGACCAAAAGCTCCTTTTTTGTTTTCTGTTAAAATATATGTACTATAAATTTGATATAAAACTATCACATGAGAAAATATTTTTTCTTCTATAAACAACAAAGAAACAAACCTGTGTAGTCTTTCCAGACCCAGTTTCTCCTACAATCAAAACTACTTTATTTTCCTTAATTATTTTAACAATTTCTTCTTGTTTCTCAAACACTGGCAGAGACTGCCTGAAGGAATCAAATTCAGATTCTCCTCTTTTCACTGGAATCTGAGGTATGCCATTGTTGAGTCGCCCACTTGTCTTGCTCATTTCCCGGTTTTCTTTGAAAATGAATAAAAGATCAAAAAAATTTATGATCAACAATAAAGAGTTTAAAACAAAAATAATTTCTAATGTAATTTGTCTCAAGTAGTCTTCTCTACTCAGTCTACATAAAGTTAGCAAGCAATGCCTCAACCGCTGTACTCCTACACATTCTTAGAGAACATGTTATAAATTTCACTATCAATTAAAAGACAAATTTCTCAGAAGTATTTCTGGTACATAATGTTTAAAAATGAACGAAAATCAATCATTCAAAAATCATTTAAAATAAAATACAATTTTGATATCCTAAAATGATTTTCAGGCTTGTTTCTATCAATTATGACAAAGAAAATTATAAGTTTATAGTAAGAAACAATGTATATTATACTGTGAAGTCTGTTATAAACAATATGAAAACCATATGAAAAAGAAAAAACCCT